ATCTACTCATTCATGATTACTTTCGCTTATATTCATATCCCCAATATTTTCATCAAAAGCCCTGGGATTAGCATCTGAGCTCTGATCTCAGTTGGGCACTACTTGTGAGTATATTCTTGAATAAATATGGAATTCAGAACAATGATAGAATAAAAGCATTTATCTGTTGAAAGTAATGCACGTGAATCATTCATAAATCCAAATGTACTTATTTTTTAAAATCAAAGGAGGGGACAAAATAAATGCTAACTTAAATTTAAGGTTCTTTACCATAGGTAAAGAGGTAACCGTAGAAGATGAACAAGTGCATCAACACTGAAATGGAGGGAATCATTGAATGTTCTAAGACCCAAGCGGAGAAGCTTCCTACGGGAGCTGAAGAGTTTGAGCAAAAAGAAAATGCTTTGAGAATGCATTTGAGGCCTTTGAGAATGCTAATGTAATTCCAGGACTGGAAGAGTCCCTTTGGGGAGGGGGGGGGGGGCGGGGGCGGAAATCTCAAGTATTTGGACAGAGAGTCGTGGTCAGTCTCAGCCAGCAGTGAGCCCATATCCCACTTCCTGTGAAATACGGAACTTTCTACAGGGTAGGGAGCTACAACTGCCCTCTTCCTAAATCACTGCACCCTCCACAGTCCCAAATCCCAAAAGACTCTTCCGTTTTACCTTCATTTCATGGGTCTATACAGATTATCCATCTGTCTAGACTCTTCAAATGAATAATCAGGCTGGACCCAGAGTGGTCACGTTAATTCTTATTTTTTGTTGTCTCTGTGTCACATCACATTGATATTCCTACATCCCCTTTTATGAGCCAGCCTCTGAAACAGACTTCCTTCCTTATTTGCTGTGTCCAGTTGTACCCCCGGCTGTCTTGGCATTAACTGAGTAGATTAGCAGGCTGTCAGTGTGATACAAATGACTGAACAAAGACTTGTAGACATTACCTGGAATCAGTCATGTAGAAATAAAAATATATATTAAAGGGCCAAAGGCTTCTAAATACAGGCCAACCCAAGAAAGCTGTTTCCTCTCCCTATGTCATCCCCTTTTTGTAGAGAGTGCTTCCCTGGCATTTATTCTGTATCAGGAATGGAACAGGAGAAAGGCACAAGACCTCTTGCCTCTACTAAGTCATTCATGATTTGGGAAGGACGATGACATCTAAAATGATTTATGCTTAAAACATAAATGAAAAAAGTAGGATTCAATGTGTTCAAAGATTCATGGCATCATTGTTTGTATTTGGAAACAGTATATATTTATTAGAAATTAGAAGTAAACAGGGGCACCTGGGTGGCTCAGTCGATTAAGCATCCGACTTGATTCTGGCTCAGGTCATGATCTCACTGTTCGTGGGTTCAAGCCCCACATCGGGCTCAGTGCTGACAGCTCGGAGCCTGGAGCCTGCTTTGGATTCTGTGTCTCCCTCTTTCTCTGCCCCTCCCCAACACACGCTCCCTCTCTCTCCCTCTCTCAAAAAAAACAAAACCAAGACAAAAACAAAACCTACAATGAGATGCTATTTTTAAATTTTCATATTTATGAAGGTCCAACGATTAGAAGCACACTTTATAGATGTTGCTGTGGGGAAAAAAGACTTCATCCACTTTTGGAGAAAGAACTAAGGGCATAATCCCTTTTAAGGAAAATTTAGGAATATTTACCCATACTCTGTGCAGCCTCACTATGGCCCAGGAGCCGCATTCCCGGGAATGTGTGTGCACAAATGGGAAGTGAAATATACACAAGATTGTCCCTGTAGGTCTGTACTAAATAGGCAGAGATTGGAAGAACTCAAGGGTCCTCCAATAGAGTACCAGTCAGATTAAACACACAATGGAGTACGATGGGATTAATTTTAAAATGGGAAAGCAGGAGTGCCTGGGGGGCTCAGTCAGTTGAGTGTCTGACTCTTGGTTTCAGCTCAGGTCATGATCTCATGGTTCGTGGGTTTGAGCCCCGAGTGCGGGCTCGGCACGGACAGTGCGGAGCCTGCTTGGGTTTCTCTGTCTCTCTCTCTCCCCCTCCCCCATTCTCTCTCTCTCTCCCTCTGTCTCCCTCTCTCTCTCTCAAAAACAAATATTTTTTTTAAAAAATGGAAAGCATTCTCTACAAGGAGATGGAAAGATCTCTGAGATTTCTCATTAAGAAAAAGGAAAGGAAGGGTGGAATGAAATGTATGGTGTGGGGCCTTACGCCTAAGAATCGGGGACTATGAAATATAGTCATCTTCTGAGTGTTGCACATAGAAACACTAATCCTGCAGGGCAAATGTTACAAGCCCTTCAGGAATATTATCTGTTGAAGCAAAAAAAAAGTATATATTAAAAAAACTTGTTACGTCAATGATACGCTATGGTCATACGTCCTTGTTTGCCCCCAGACATCTCTGGTTTATTACACCTGATATTCCAGGGTAGTTACTAGTAACACCTCCTTTGCTGTCAGATGCATTCAGCCGGTGTGGCAAGCCCTCTGCATGCCAGAATGTTAGCCTTGACGCCCGTGCAGACCGGCTAGCCTGGTTCTGGTATCATAAGCGCTGGCTTGTTCTCACCGCCTCTCCTGCTACAGTCTTCTCCGGAGGTCACCGAGGGAGAAGTCGACAAAGTCGGGTCTTGCCTTCAGCGCTCACCCCAACCAGGCATTGCTTCTCAAACATTTTTTTCACGTCGTAGCACACATGAAAAGTGATGCAATCTGTAGAAAACCCTTGGGTTTCTGCCAGAGGCAGCCAGGCCGGGACTCCAGCTCCTTTGGGCCCCACAGGACCACTCAAAGGGCAGGTTTTAGAGGTAGGAGTCAGCAACTCAGCACCCCAGTTCTTTGTATCAGTGGGGAAAGGGCACTAGGGATGATCCAAACTGCAGGTTGTAGAAGGAAGGACCCGAGGCTGCAAGAGGGGAAAGATGATAAAATGAAGGCGAGGGGAGTTTGGAGCTGTGGAGAGACTAAGTAAGGCCCTGTCTCCGTCTGCGGTTCAAAGAGGGGCGCTCAATCTCCATGACGCTCCTGGGACTCTCATCCGTTTATTCATTGATTTGTTCATAAATCATCGAACACCAAGCCCTGTGCCAGACATCAATGATGCTGCCTTGAGTTGTTAACTGCTTGTCTCCAAAACAGGATTGTGAGCCCCCAGGCACACTGCAGAGTGTAGACACAGGGACGGGATCCCCAGGGCTATTAATGAACATGACCCAAGCCACTGCAAGGGCAAGCGGCCCCCAGCCACTCTCTGGTGCTGCCCCCCGCAGAGAACAAAGCTGTTTCCATTGTGCCCATAACCACACCTGCGACAAGAGCTGTCTGAGTGAAAAGAGGTACAAGAGGAGAGAAAAGACCAGAGCAGAAAAGTAAGACATAACTGGCCAGCAGAACGGAGTGCTGCACCTTGCATTTAGGGAGGCGGCACGGACTTCCTGCAGCGCTGACGTCGGATGCTTAGGTCCAAAGAAGATGCCTCGCTCGGCATGTTACCAATTCTACTGACGTCACCCATAATAAAAATGTGAGCTCTGTGTGAGACGAAGCATCCTCACAGGAAGAAATTTCCACTGCAGAACTGTATGTGGGGGAACAGTAAGTGTTTACCCAGCGCCTAAAAGTTCTAGTATTGTCTTCATTTTGCAGATCAGGAAACTGAGGCACAGGGAGTTAAGTGCGTTGCTGAGGTCACACAGCAAGTAAATGGTAGAATTAATGTCCCAGCCCAGGCAGATAGCCGGTAAAGCCCACGCTCTAAATCACTACCCTGCCCTGCCTCTAGAGTAATATGGCTAACTTATGCATTGAACACTTAGGATGCGTCCCTTCACTTAATTTTTAGAACTCTTGGTTATAGAATTTTTTAAGGAAAACAAAAAAGAAGTAAAAAAGAAGTTATTATTATTTTTTTTTGGTCTGTCTTTTTTTGACATAGTCGAAAAGCAGCAAAACCAGGGGTTTGGACCAACACCTTCCTCTCTCTGTATTGGGTGTCCCGATCTGACCCACGGGGGCCTCCTTCGGGCCCTGCTTTCTCTAAGCAGTGTTGCAATCACGGAATCAAAGCTCCGTAAGCAGGAAAGGATATGAATGGCCACGCGCTCACGGAGAGAGGACAAGACCGTGCGACTCACCAAGGTCATGCCCGTGAGGGTGAACCCACTGACCCTCAGACCCGTGGCCCCACGGATCCCGGTCTGGTCCGTGTCTCTTCACCACAGCCCAGAAATCGTACTATTTTCCTCACATAGATATTCGGATGCTTCTTCCTTCTTCCGAGGGATATTATGAAGGTTAAAGGCACACATTTGAGAGAAGCTAGCACTGTGTTCCGAAATAGGGCAGACATACCAAACATAATTGGTTTGAATTTTTTAGCAGTTACTTGTATAAAAATGAAAATAGATAGGGTATTCAAGAGCCATACAGCGGCCTCAGCTCTGCCAAAATTTGGGTCCTGTCTCTCACCCTGTGACATGCTTTGGCAGGCATTTGACCTTCAGTCCACATGTCACCAGAGTCCGGAGGTTGAACCTGAGCATTAACTTTCAGACTTTGCTCAACAGAGGACTTGGTTTGGGGGGGGGGGGGGGCAGGAGGAAGAGCCAAGGGGAAGAAGGCACAGAACGTGACCCTGCTTTCTCTTTCAACCTGTTTTCTACTTCGCAGGTGAGTGCTTAGTACGCAAGATTTGCAAAGCTCTTTGTTTGCTGCTCGGGTTTTGTTTCTGTTGCTGTTTACTTAGCACGGCTGCGGATCCCTTCTCCGGAATGGTCATTGGCATTGGGCGAGAACTCAGACAACACCCCCGTCGTCACCATCTCCCTCTTGCCCCAAGAGAGCACACTGTAAAATGCAGCCTCCGGCCTCCTGCTCCCAGGGTGGGGGGGGTGTTCTCCCCCCACGGAGCTGCCCTCCCCCACCCAATAGCCCACCACCCCTGGCTCTGCCTGTGCTCACACCTGGGAGCCATAGCTTTGGGCTCCTGTTTTCCACTCTCCCACCCTTTCTTCTGGGCAACGCTCCGCCCCCACCTTAGCTTTAGATTATCTTCATCTGCTCAGCGTTGCTCTGTCTCCCCAGATTGGAAGTTCAGCAGAAGCATTTGCATGGGGTCCCTGGTTTTTTCCTTTCTCCTCTGTGGCATTTTTTCCCCCGTTAGATTGGAATGCAATCGAACACACACCTCCCTTCTCCCTACATGTTCACGTCTGATGAACCCAGGTATGTCCCCCTAGTGTGCGTCTGCAGCACGTTCGACAAATAATCTGATGGATTCGTTCACTGGTGTGGACTTCAACCCTGACCAGATGATTGACCAACCAACCGGCCGGTTCCCACTGTGGCCAAGCAGCTGAGCTGTGACCAATTCAGCCCGTCAGGGTCCCTTCAGAATAGTCCTGACCCTGACAGTGACCCTCTTCACGGCCTCCCTCACTTCCTTGTTGCGAAGGGTATAGACGATGGGGTTGAGGAGAGGAGTGAGAAGGGCATACACCAAGGCAATACACTTGTCTGTGCCCTCAGAGCGGTTCCCAGGTGGCCCCACATAGACCGTGAAGGCGGAGGCATAAAAGAGGGCCACCACGGTCATGTGGGAGGAGCAGGTGGAGAAGGCCTTGACCCGGCTGGCAGCCGAGGGCAGCTTCAGCAAGGCCCTCAGGATGCCCCCGTAGAGTCCCCAAATGAGCACGAAGTTGCAGCCAGTGGCCGCACCAATCACCGCCCCGTGCACTCGAGCGTGCCAGCCTGCGTCCACGCACGCCAACCGCATCAGCGGTGCCAGGTCACAGAAGTAGTGGGCCACCTCTTTCAGACAGAAGGGTAGGGTGGCCGTGAGGCTGGCTGGCACCAGTGCCGCTGAGAAGCCAGCCACCCAAGCGGCCCCTGCCAGCCAGAACCGGACCTTTCTGGTCATGAGTGCCCGGTAGTGGAGCGGGCGGCAGATGGCCAGGTAGCGGTCCAGCGCCATGACGCCCAGCAGATGGCACTCGGTCATGCCCAGGGAGTGGAAGACGTACAGCTGGATGAAGCACACCGCTGCCGAGATGACTGAGCGCCCACGGAGCCACGTGTGCAGCAGCGTGGGCACCGTGGCGCTGACGTACCCGAGCTCCAGGAAGGAGAGGACACCGATGAAGAAGTACATGGGCGTGGACAGTCCAGCATCCACCTGGACCAGGACAACGATGAACAGGTTCCCGGACAGTGTGAGGAGATAGAGGCACAGGGTCCCCAAGAAGGCAAGAGGTCGCAGGGTTCCGGGGACACTGAAACCAGAGAGGATGAAACTCTGGGTCCACGTGTGGTTGAGCGGATCCATGATACCTAGGAAGTACTTCAGGATCTTCCTCTCTTTGGAAAAGTCTTCCTGGTGCCAAGAACATGAAGTGTGAGCACCTAGCAGCAACCTGACATTGTCTAACCAATGCCAGTCCCTTCACAATAGAGGAATTGCACTCTCAAGGGTGGAAGTGGACGGACCCACATCATAGAATCTGCTGTTGACAGGGCTGGAACTAGAAACCAAGGCTCTGATCCCAGTTGAATCCTCTCTAATTTATAATATTGGGTTCTAGATACTGGGGCATCTGGATCTTGTCTCTAGTCCCCCATCAGCAAATAGGAGAGGCAAGAAAATTCCTACCTCTATCCTTCCTATAGTTACCGATGATGAAACAACCAGCAAAACTGGGCTGTGGAGAAGAATGAAGTCATCCCCTAAAGGTGACTTCCAGGGCCTCTTTGAGGAAGCCCCACTGGAGTTTATAGACTGTTCCCATAAGGGCTGGAAGGAGAGGTGGGAAATGGCAGAGATGGGGGCACTCTGACAACAGTCCCTGACATCTGAGGTCCGCGGTGCCCGACGGTACCTCCCTTAGTAGACTCACCATGTCTTTTAAAGTATGATCTCCACAGGAGACATGCACTGGGATCTCTTAGAGAGGAAAACCATAAGGTCAAAAGTCCCAAGCAAGAAGTCCCATAGCATAAAAAGAAGAGCCTTCTCTGAATCAGCGATTTGGTTTTAGCACCTGCTCTGTCACTGACCCGCAGGGCACCCTGAGCTGAGCAACTTCTCCTCACATACCCTCAACTTCCCTAAAATAAACAAAAAACAGTGTTGAACAGATGTTTTCTAAGACTCTTACAACACAGAGCATTTATGGTCCCCTAAAGTCCCTGAAAAATGGTTTGGGGGGAGGGGGGAGGGAGGCGATCTACACTAACACGCCCAGAGTTCTCCTCCCACACCCTTCACCTTAACGAACCTCCCCTAGGAAAGATCGACGCCCTCCCCTGGTCCTCTGCTTCTACTACACTCACCCCTGCTGCCCTGTCCCTGCCCGTTACCTGACCGTGTGGATGACATTAACACTCATGGCACCCTCCTCAACATCGCTTGCCCCCCAAGACTCTGCCCTACTTATATCTCATGCTCCGGGACACACTGGTCTCTCTGGGGCTCCTTGCTGCGTGCTCCCTGGGGTTGCCGGGTGTGACTAGCCGTCTCCAAGGGGTTCCTCTGGGGCAGGAAGTGGGGCACGGGAAAAGTGAAGCAGATCCACTCTGTTTCTCAAACACCTTTTCTCAGCCCTGCAACCCTGATTGTTGGGCTCTGGAGTCCAGTGTCTTCAAGTTCCAGAGAGCTTTCTCCAAGGAGAGAGAGCCACCCCCCATAATCTCGGGCACACACGGACAGTAACACCTTGGGGACCCCAGAAGTGTCTCCTTCTTAAAAACTGCCTTGGTAAGAGACTTCTCTATCAGCTTCATTTGCACCAAAGACAAGGGCTGGGTGACCCCAGAGGACTGAGCCGTGAATTTGCCCGCAACTAGCTTTGCCCTGGTTTGAGGAAGATCAGCTGCACACGATTCTCTTCTTGTCCATGACAAGCATCACCGCTCCTTCCTGAGCACATCTGCTACTACTCATTCACTGAGCCCCCCAGCACTGTGTGTCTACTGTGTGCCCAGCACCATCGCAGACGCGGCCATCGCTGCCACCGCCACCATCGTGACTACGACACGGGACGCCCACGTGCTGCTGACCCTACTTCCCACCATCACGCTCCGTTTATAACCACCGGGATCATCGTCATAAAGGTCCTGCAGTCAGCTGTGGCACCCTGACCTCAACTGGACACCATGCACGTGCCTGCACTGGACGGATAGAGAGGCCATATAAATAGTAGACTGAAAGCATTAATCCACTGGAGACTACTGGGTGTCCACCACCCACGTCTGTGGATTCAAACGTGGTTTAACATCTAGAAATCAGAAGCAAAGGACAAGATAATAGCAAAACTAACCCGACTATCAGGACATTCACCATGAAAGATTTGCGCATAGACCACATAAACGCAGAACAAACTCTCTTCAGGTCAACCTAGAAAATCTTGAGAGAGCTGGAGTTGTTTAGTTGGTTTCGGGAAGTTTCTGTAGAAAATTATGTAACCTCTCTTTTTTTTTTAATATGAAATTTATCGTCAAATTGGTTTCCATACAACCCCCCGTGCTCATCCCAACAGGTGCCCTTCTCAATGCCCATCACCCTCTTTCCCCTCCCTCCCACGCCTCATCAACCCTCAGTTTATTCTAAGTTTTTTTACAAAATTTTTTATTACATTTATTTATTTTTGAGAGACAGAGAGAGACAGCGCAAGTGGGGGAGGGACAGAGAGAGAAGAAGACACAGAATCCGAAGCAGGCCCCAGGCTCTGAGCTGAGAGCACTGAGCCCGACTCGAGGCTTGAACTCACTTGAGATCATGACCTGAGCCAAAGTCGGACGCTCAACCGACTGAGCCACCCAGGCACCCCTTATTCTCAGTTTTTAAGAGTCTCTTATGGTTTGCCTCCTTCCCTCTCTGTAACTTCTTTTTCCCCTTCCCCTCCCCCATGGTCTTCTGTTAAGTTTCTCAGGATCCACATAAGAGTGAAAACATATGGTATCTGTCTTTCTCTGCATGACTTATTTCATTTAGCATAACACTCTCCAGTTCTATCCATGTTGCTACAAAAGGCCATATTTCATTCTTTCTCATTGCCAGGCAGTATCCCATTGTATATATAAACCACAACTTCTTTATCCGTTCATCAGTTGGTGGACATTTGGGCTCTTTCCATAATTTGGCTATTGTTGAAAGTCTGCTATAAACGTTGGGGTACATGTGCCCCTATGCATCAGCACTCCTGTATCCCTTGGGTAAATTCCTAGCAGTGCTATTGCTGGGTCATAGGATAGATCTATTTTTAATTTTTTGAGGAACCTCCACACTGTTTTCCAGAGTAGCTGCACCAATTTGCATTCCCACCAACAGCGGGTTCCCATTTCTCCACATCCTCTCCAGCATCTACACTCTCCTGATTTGTTCATTTTAGTCACTCTGACTGGCGTGAGGTGATATCTCAATGTGGTTTTGATTTGTATTTCCCTGATGAGGAGTGACATTGTAGCCTCAAGATTGGAAGAATCTTGACCTGAGTAAAAAATTCTCTGGTGCTTGGGCAATTAGGGGTTCTCATTCAGTCTTTGCCAGTCTTGAGCCTATATTCCACATCATCTGAACACCTGACTTTCCTCCAGGATGGATGCTTGCAACTGACATTTGACAAAATTTCTGCATTCTCCGTAGTCCCAAACACCAAAATACCCCTGATTTGCAGTCTTATTTATAGATCTGTAGGATTCTGAGACGGACTTCCCCCATGCTTTGTAGAGCCCAGCTGTATATCACCTGGTCTGGCAATAAGTGTATTATAATAACTGTGTGCTTGCCTTCAGAAACCTATCAATGTGACACACACATGTGTTTATAAGAAACAAACCCAGATCAATCCAATAATATGTGCCAAAGTCTTGGCAGTGTATATGAATAAGAAGTGAGGTGTTTGACCTAATTGCAAAAAAACAGAGAAAATAAAAATTGGAGGGTTGCTTGGCTCAGGAAGGTATTTATTTTCTTCTCGGGTCATCCTCCACCAGCAGGGTTGGCTCACCTAATATTTTTTCTGCGTTAGAAACTGAGCAAGACTAAAGAACAACTTCCGATGCCTCCATTAAGAAATTTATAATGTAGCAAAAAAGACTACTGAGAACCCTATCACGGTGTTAAGGGAAGAAAGTAGGATTTCCAAAGTGCCGACATTTTACAATATGATTGTTAATATTTCTTAAAAAGCTTTTGGGCAGGGAAAGATGAAAAATAACAGATAGTAAGTGTTTAAAATGATTTTATAATGGGGCACCTGGGTGGCTCAGTTGGCTGAGCATCCGACTTCGGCTCAGGTCATGACCTCACAGTTCCTGAGTTCGAGCCCCCTATCAGGCTCTGTGCTGACAGCTCGGACCCTGGGGCCTTCTTCAGGTTCTGTGTGTGTCTCTCTCTCTCTGCCCCTCCCCTGCTTCTTCTCTGTCTCTGTCTCTCTCTCTCATAAAAAATAAATAGTAAAAAAAAATAATAATAAATAAAATCATTTTATAAGTGATTTTTTATTTTTATTCATAAATATTCTGTATCATGGACATACGTAGATGTGATATTGTTCTCCAAGAGAAAAAAGTGATCCAAAGGTTAGAAAAGTTTCATCAAAAGCAGCTGAAATTATATGAAGAGAGGAAAAATCACAGTGATTCTGTTATTCATTAGGTATATTTAAGTTATTGAATGCTCTTTATTTTCCACACTGCCTATTAGGGAAAGTATGAGGTGTATAAAACATCCCTTTCCTCAAGATGCTTGATTTGGAGTGAGGGAGACAGACCCCAAGATGGGCATTTATAAAAGAACATGGGCACTTAAGTGTATGAAGTCACTTATACACTTTGTATACACAGTGTATAAGAGTCATAGAAATTTACATACATCGAGGTACTTTCCTCACCATCGGCTTTGAAAACGATCCAAAAGTTTAAAAATACCCTTTGCTGTCAAGGCTGCAGGGAAACATTCTCACACATTGCTTCCAGGAGGACAGAATAGTTAAGAAATTTGAAGGAAAGTTTAGCAATGCTTCCGTACACGACACATTCACTTCCGCATAGCAATCCCACCTCTAAGAATCTGTCTTACAGATATGCGTGTGCACATATGTGAAATGACATGGACACAGAGGTTTTCACTGTGATTTTGTTTGTAATACCAAGACATGTCATTATAGCGACACAGTGCAATCATATATCCTGGTTTGCCCAGGTGAGTTCCAGTCAATGCCTGTTTTTCAGGGCTAATTATCCATAGAGCCCCACTTCGTTCTGAAAAGTACTTGGGTTTATTTAACTGGAAACTATATAAGCATCTGGGTGATGGAGTGTTAGCTTTAATGCTACCACAGAGTTTGTGGTCTGAATATGTATGTGTGCCTGTACACATCATGCTTTGGCGCCTTCCTTCTTCTGTGCTGACAACAGTCTATCACTACAGAATGAGAGAAATAAGTCAATAAAATACTGTACAACCTTGGTTTACGAGCATAATTCGTCCTGAAAACATGCTTGCGATCCAAAGCACTTGTGTATCAAAGTGAATTTCCCCATGAGAAATAATGGAACCTCAGATAGTTCATTCCAAACCCCAAAATATTCATATTAAAAAATGATTATAATACAAAATAATAAAGAAAATACAAAATATCAAAAAAAAAATAAACAAGTTAACCTGCACTTACCATTGAAAACCTTTGTGAATGGTGTGGGGGAGACAAGAGAAAGGAGGGTTATTGTGTAGGACTTTCACTATCACTAACAGATGTTGGTTACAATACAATAGCAATAAACTCTTGTCATAGGCTGTATTTAACGTAA